ATGACCATTGGTCTCTAAGCAAGACACGCAAACCCTCTGGTGTGGAGCTGAGTCCTGACGGGCAACTGCGCGGGTGATCGGTGGCAGATTGTAAGCAGATTAGTGGGGCTCGATGTCTACGGGAGTCTGGTAAAACAAGACGCAGTTCCGTTGTTTAAGCGGTCTAGTCGTTCGGGAGACCGCGTTTTCTACCGGGGCGCACCGGGCACGACAGGTGAAGTGTGTGATATCGCATCCATCTGTTACCTCCTGTTCATGTTGACACATTCACGCAATATGAAATAAAATAAAATATTGACTGGTGGAGGACTTTGTACCGGGGAGGATTTTAACGCATCCTTAGAGTTTTCGAGGTTTGATGTGAAGAACCTGTGCCATGGAAGCACGGTGCTCTGCCACTGAAAGACGGCCGTCCTGCGACAGATGTCCGCTGTCGCGGTCTGACGCGAAAATTGGATGATGGCTCACGCCTGAGAAATTCACGTTCACCTGCGTTGAAGGGGATGGGGACCATGGAGTGATTGCTGTGCGAGCGTGAGCTGGTGAGTGATCGCGCTGCATTATCCTTTCCTCACAGCTCGGCAGGAAGGAAAATAGCGCGTACTCAAATGTGTGACCGATGTGTAACGCGTCGGCTGATCAACCGCGCTCGGTGTGACTAAGCGACCGTCTGGGGACGGGATCGCGGTCCTTTTCAAGTTCGGTGCAATTCGCAGGACGCTTTGGGCGATGACAGTTTGCTCTTTTTGATGATGGGGTCAAAGCCTATTTACAAGTAAGGCTCGACAGAGAGGACTTAGATACGCACAGGTTTTCGGGGTGGCAGCGATGCTTCGAATGAGGCGCTGTGGGCGGGTATCGTTTAATGAGTCCAAACCACCACCACGGCGACTGCTCCTCCACCAACATTCACCGGTCATGACAGTGGTGGGAGCAGCCGCACACTGACGCTGGGTCTCAGGGTCTGACAGTGAGGGGGGGGGGGGACTGAGACACGCTGCCTGAGGCGCAGGTGTGCATGGCTGAGGTTAGCGTGACCCCGACAGACTGTACTTGGAAGCAGCCCCCAGCGCAGGCTAGGCCAGGCTGTGGCTGGCCCAGCAGGCGTGGAGTCGGAATGCTAATGGGTCGGCTCCCGGAGTAAAACAGAGTTCAAATCGTGACGCTCTCACCTTGGATGGTGTGCCCTACCTCACGACGTGGTATTCGCCAGACGTGAGGAGATGGGCTTTGATGCCCGACGGTGTGGCCCTCGTGGGGTTATGGGCTTTGATGCCCAACGGTGTGGCCCTCGTGAGGTTATGGGCTTTGATGCCCGACGGCGTGGCCCTCATGAGGTTATGGGCTTTGATGCCCAACGGTGTGGCGCTCGTGGGTTTTAGTTCCATTGGTACCCGGCGATAAAGTGCCTGTTCCGAGACCTCTGAGGGTCAGTCTGCGGTGGAATGAGGAATGCTTTCCCGAAGGCCAGGGCTGCTTCTGCGGGCGGCAGCAGTGATTGTGGTCATTAGCTGTTGAAAGATGTTGTTTGGGTGGCGTTGCGCGCATTTGGAAACGCGTGTCCAAAGTGTGCAACAGTCCGTTAGAAAGTGATGCGAGCTTTCAGGCCAAGGTCATTGAAAATACTGAACACTTTTGATGAAAACCCCTTTTCTGCGAGAACTAGAATGGCCGACATGCGACTGAACAAATTTTGGCCACTTTAATACACAGAATGCATCGTGATCTAGCTCCATTCATTCGAAAATTGCTCTCAAATGATTAACTTCAGATTGTTATGCTGTCCTTTGGTAGGTAGGATGATATTTCCCGGACGCAGTGGGTGAAAATTTTAAGTTTGGAATGCAACGGTTCGTTTCTTGAAAGTTGGATGGTTTAAGGTTTTACCTGTTTGGCAATGTCCCGTCAAAGCAATCGAAGAACTTATACCGATTACCGGTTTAGGTTATGTGGTCAAACTAAGACAAAAGATGAATATGTGTTTATCGGGTAATCGCCACAGTTGACTGAACCATACGCCTCCCTCATTTAACTGAACTGAACTGAAGTAACCTCCCTCATTTGAGGTCGCAGCGCATTGTGTTCTAGACCGGTTTCGCAGTGTGCGACTTTGGCCACTTACCGGCCGATTGTCGGCGAACCCATGGGCCGAACCTGGTAGACATCAGGCAGTGATTCATAGGTGGTGCACTTTCCAATACAGTGTACATCTTGTTTCGCATCACACCACCTTGTTTTTGTTTTCTTGGTTTCTTCGTTTTGGTTTTACATCTTACTGTCTGCTTTGGTTGTAGAGAGCTGGTGCCAGCCATCAGAGACGCCCCTGGATGAGCGGATCCATGGTTAGCAGTCGATTGCGCGTGGTGGACTGCACAAGTTGATTCGCACTCTTGTCGTCATTGTATTGGTCTCCCCTCCGTCAAGTAGCGCTGCTTCGTGTCGCTGCAACACTGCAGCTCGTCGAAATCTAGATAAGATTTCAACCGTTAGTAGAATGGAGAAAGCTGTATTTGGTGGCCTATGGCAACGCATGAGGGAAAATCTCTCCTGATCTGGTAGATTGCATGCAGCTGTCTTCAAATGTAGACAGCACGACTTAACAACGATGCGCCTCGTGACGCTGCAAACGGCACGACTCTAATGTTAATATTTGGGAAGATATCAGTGTACAGGTGGAGTGGCGTCCGGGCTGAGTTGGCCTGGCTCGTGCAAATTTAATTGCTCATCATTGTTGAAGCTAGACTTGCGCGAGTGACACCGCACTCACGCGCACTCGCTTGGTGTGTGGCATCGCTCCTAACGGCCAAAGTAAGTCACAACTTTGACGATCTGTGTTGACAACCACCAGTGTTGAGACAAAAGGGGCTTTGGTTTCCATGTTGTTTGCGTTTGGCCAGCTTGTCGATACGCGCCGCGTGATGAAAAGTAGCTGGCTTGACGAACCACACGGGAGCCAGGCAAAGATTCCGCAGTGATCACCAAAAGTATCGCCGGACAATTTGATGCCTCGCGCTGTCCCGTTTACTAATGACAGCCGTATGCCGCGGAAGGGCACACAAAAGCGGCCGGACCATCGCTCTGCGCGCGGACCGTGACTGGTGTGTGTTCGCTCGGGCGACCCGGCGCCACCAGACCTGAATCGGACCGTGCCTTTCCGGTCAGATGACCGGCGGCTGCGGAAGCGGCCCATTCGGCCCGCAGCCGCCGCCGCCGCCGGCTGTGATTACACCCACGTCGAGCGGGCCGCTTAGTGCTGGGCTAGGTGGCGGTGTGCTGCGTTAGTGGTCGGCGTTAAGTGCTCATGCCACTCAGTGTTGGGGGTAGCACCAAGTTGCCTGCTATTATATTGATGGCCTAGGATGTTGCGTTTCTTGGAGACTGAATACTGGCTTCGCCAGGCACTTCCGCTCTTGATTCGAGTGACCTTATTCTGCTCGTCACTCTCCAATGACGAGTACCCCCACAGACCATCACATATCTTAAAAAGCAGCCAGAGCCAGGCGAAAAACGGCATCGGATAGCTCGCGTAGCACTGCATCGGATAGCTCGCGTCATACTGCAATCGGCCAGCCCGCCACAGCGCCCTTTAATGTGTATGGCAGATTCTGCATGAAACCTCCGCCATCTGTTCCCCGCCTGTGAGTCTGACCGGCATGGCCTAGTGAAAAAGGTCATCACGTGCACATTTGACAGTCTTACGTCAAGTGACACCAATGTACGGTCAGGAAAGTTGCGGGGCTCTGAGGCCTTTAGCACGGTGCAGTCACCTTAGTTCAGTGATCTGGGTGAATCACACTTGTGCCACACACTGTTAGCCAAAATTGCGTGCACGCGACCTCTGTGGTAGCCGCATTAGCCAGCCGAGAAGCCTGTGTGCGGGCGCTCCTGTAAAGGCGCCGTCACACTGGGCGGACACGATCACAGCACAGCAGCCATGCCGCAGAACGCTGGGACGGTGCTCCACGCGTTCGGCGCTGCTTCCGTCGGATTTGTCACGCATGTTCGCCTGCCGCCCCACGGTGACGCCGACAGCTGTGCAGTGCTACAGCTGACTGCTCGGCTGGCAGGCAGACTTGTGTAACTTTGCTGGTGGGTGGACTTGTGTGACTTGACCAACGGGTAGAATTAACGGGTAGAATTGTGCGACTTGGCTGACGGGTAGATGTGTGTGACTTGGCTGGTAGTTAGGCTTATGTGACTTGGCTGGCGGGTAAACTTGTGTGAATCGGCTGGAGGGTAGATTTATGTAAATCGACTGGTGGGTAGGCTTGTACCACTTGGCTAGCTGGTAGACTTGTTGCGCGACTTGGCTACCGGGTAGCATCATTGTGTAATTCGACTTGCGGGTAGAGTTGCAGCATAACCTGGGTATCGAGCAGACGTGTCGCACAGTTCGGCTGTCTGGCTGATGTGTTGGACAGCTCGGCTGTTGGACGGACGTATCGCACAGCTCGGCTGTCGGGCTGATGTGTTGGACAGCTCGGCTGTCTGGCTGATGTGTCGCACAGCTCGGTTGTCTGGCTGATGTGTTGGACCGCTCGGCTGTTGGACGGACGTATCGCACAGCATGGCTGTCGGGCGGACGGTGGGGGGGGGGGGGGGGGGGGGCAGACCGACAGTCAGTTGCTGGGCTGTCGTGAAATTCGGCTTGTTTTCACGGAACGCTGGCGTTGCTTCAATGAGCGCAGATGCTGGCCGGTAGTGACCAGTCGGTGGCCTGTTTTTGGACTTGGACGCCAGATGGCCCATCAGGGCCTGATTTTGATGAAGGAATCGGTGTTAAGGTGCTAAACTCAACATATGGTTTACCTAACAACGCCAGCTTACGCTAGGAGTATAGTTCTTCGAGCGGGAATATTGTCACTATCGGCTTGCCTCCATGATTGAAATGCAACGTTTCCAGCCATCTCCGCCTGGGATATCTACGGCGCTACCATGAATGGCAGTTGCTTGCCAGCTATGTCTGTTTCGTCTTGACCTGTATACGTTTGACCCGGCAGGGCAAGGACAGAGAACCGGTCGTCATGACGACCACGGTGGATGAGGTGGACGCACTGCCCGGCGCCTCGCTGCGGCTAGTGGACGGCCCGTCGCCCTGGGAGGGCCGGGTCCAGGTCTTCCACAAGGACCACTGGCGGTCCGTTTGCACCAACTCCAGAAAGTGAGTTAAGCGCTGCCGGCTGTTAGCCACGCTCGCCTCTCGCCAGCCCACGTCTGCCACCCTGTCCAACGGCCTCGGTCCTGTAAAGAACTTCAGGAGCTGCGCAAAAAACCGGATTATGATTTGCGTCTTGTTTTTGTCGTTCGAAACACGCTATCGCTGCGGCCTGCCCCGCTTTGACGCTGGTCACATTCCATGCGTTTGGAGGGATGCCAGTGGCTTGAGCATCAGTTTCTTATGACGTCAGCCTGCTGCCTCTGCTTGGTGACGGGTCCCTTGGTGATGGGTATCCATTGACTTTTGCAATATCTGAAACATTCATTGGTAAACAACCTGGGAACTATGTACACTTTTCCGTCATGCGCACACCAGTATGTCATTAGGCATGCTATCAATGGCTGCTATGGATGCATCTCGTAGTACCGTCATCATGTGGCCTGAACACATTAATTTCAGATCAAGAGAATACAATTTTTTGTGAAGCCGTCTTCTTATTTGTTAATGCCATTGCTGCTGTTCATCACCGGCCCCTTATCCGTTCTAGTGACTCACTCTGGAGCGGGTGGAAGTCGAGGTAATGGGCCTCTGCTCGGCTGTTTCCCTGTGGGCTGTTTATGTGTTCCGCCCGTCTGCTCAACTGTCCGCTTGCCTGTCGGCCCGCCTGTCTGCCTGCCCGCCCGCCTGCTTAACCGTCCGCCCGCCTGCTCAACTGTCCGCTTGCCTGTCTGTCCACCTGTCTGCATGCCTGCCCGCCTATCCGCCTGTCTGCATGATTTTCCGCCTGCCTGGCTCTGGTTTTAGCGTTCTGTTGGAAATCTCCGCTTTCGCAGCTGGAACTGGAAGACCTTTGGCCGGGGCGATTGTATTGGCCTGGTTTTATATTTGTTATGAAAAAGAGTTTTCGGCAGACCCAGACATCTCCTCTTTCAATTACCAATTCTAGTTTATGGTGGCCGTAGGAACTTATCCGTAACCTGAAATGTGAAGTTGTGCACTTGAAGTGGTTGTTGTCGGATACCTTCGCAATGACGCCACATGGAACGGGCCAGCGAATATCTCTAGATCCGTCTGCGCTCCAAAGCCTCCAAATGCTGTCACGGATCATGACGGCATGTCCTGCTGTTGCCGCCCATCACGTCATGGAAGCATACCGAGCATGCTCATCATGGCGGCGCAAATCAAACTATTTGGCTGAGCACAAGAGTGCACAAAGGCCTTTCGTGCTGCTCCTGTATCTGTCCGTGAAAGTCCATGTGCATTACACAACACTCAGTACAATCAGTCTTGATGCAGAAAGCATTTTATAACTCATTTTGGTCGTACACATACCGTGACAGCCTGAGAACGGTGGGCCGCATTTTTCTAAAACAGTCACAATTTGTTGTGACATTTGTTGCAGCTCTGCAGAGAAGCCGAATTTTGACGCCTTTTGAGAAATTGGTGCCTCAAAATTTTGATCATCAAAATTCTGTCCCGGAGGGTTTGGAGTGCAGCTGCAAAAGATAAACGGACATTCTTAATTCATCCTGCATGAAACTAGGTCAAAACAATCATCCTTGATGAAAGAGGCAAACATGAGTATGTCACGCTTCCTTAAGTTGTGGGACGTGAGTTCAGTCTGGCTGCTCCGGGTCAGCTGACCTTTGCCCTGGCGTGCTGGTCGGTTCGGCCTGACCTGACGCCGGCCTGGCGTGTACTATTGCCAGAAAACCCAGGGGCGCACCCAGTATTACGGTAGGACCGGGGAAGACAAGCGGCTGGCCTGGAGACTGCTAGTAATGACACAAAATCCGTTTGAAAGCATTGTATCGGTGAGTGTTGCCAAGACAAAAGCCAGGCGTGGACGTACCCACGTCCTAAATGTTGCTGGGACCCATTTCTGTTTCGATGCCACTGAAGACGGCCAAACCACAACAGTAATCTGCCTAATTTGCCCAAACGTTGCTGGGACCCGAACCCTTCTGACCGTCGGTGTTGGTGCGCTCATGCTGCCAGGGTGTTGCGCGGTTTTCACGAGAGTGGTTGTTCAACATCGCCACGAAAACGCCCAAGCCACCGAGCTAGGACTAGGCGCTAATCCCTAAGCATCAACTCACGCCTTGAACCTCTCCGCGATGTAAATCGCTCTAACGCGCCTCCAGCCATTTACCTACCAAGCCGTGACCATCAGTGCCCCGGACCGGAGCCGTTTATCGCCCGTTGCGGCTGGGAACTGTGTGGCCTGGGGCCGTTCACCCCGTGGTGACCTTCCGCCGCCTCTGACCCCGCCTCCCGGAGGTCAGACGACCCTGCTGCACATGACATCCGGGCCTCCTGTCGGCCATCGGCACGCAGGGTCCAGCTCATTGTCCCACCTCACCTGCGGTGACCAGGCCACCTTTATTCCGCAGATCCGCCACCCTCTCACCCCTGCGCCGCCGCCTGGCTGTGTTTACCGGATGGCTGGCGGCCGCCGAGCGTGTATTGGCGTCCGGAGGGCACGGGTGTTGACTGGCTTGATCGGTTTGTGCGGAGCTGACGACGCGCCGGCCGTGGGGGGCCAGGGGCTGTCAGTGGATCAGACTCAAACGGTCCGGGGGAGGGCCGCTGCACACGCTACCGCGCGACGTTTGTCCCGGCATACGTAGCGACGAAATCAGTTTGTGTAACGGAGCGGGCTTCGCCTCCGGCCATTGTTCTCCGGCTGCGTGGGCCCGCATTCTCAGCGAGCTATGAATGGCACATACCTGTTTTGAGCATTGCGATGCTGCATGCCGGAGTTTCAGGTCTCCGAAGTTTTGCGTTCTCAACTGGATTTGACGCAAGGAGTGGCGATGATAGGGCTTTCTGTCATTTCCACATGCAGGTGTCGCTATATGGCATAAAAAATAAAACGGCATAACTGGCAGTATGTCATCAAAAGTAACAATGCTGACTGGCGTATGATACTAGTACTCGGCATAAATAGCGTGTGTTCGTGCGACCCTCAAGTAATCTCTTAATGGGATTGTTCCACATTTGTGTGGGATTTTGAGCTGAAGTGGCCATCCTAACCTAAAGATTATGAGGTGCAGTCCACAGCTCTGCCCTTCCTAAGACCCAGTCCATCTAGTGTCTGAACTTCACGCCCGCGAAGACTTGCAGACTTCTTCGTGTGCAGACTTTTTCAAGGTCACCTAGGTATCCATGACGCCATAATAATGTCATTCAATTCCTGCTATGTCATTGACCATGTGGTGATCAAGGCTAATATAAATATTATTGTCGAATCGTTCATATGTTACGTTTATGAGCGCTATTTCCAGATATAGTATCTGTGGACTGGCTGTCAATCCATGTTCGAGGTACAATTACGCAATCAAACAATGGCGTGTAAAGGAAAATATTTGCTAAATAGATGAATTGTGCTGCCTAGAGCTGTCTTTTCCACTTATAGTAATATCTGCAGTTATGAGTGAGCGCATTTCATTATGTCTGATGTTTACTTCATATTTTCAAATGCGGAACATTCCCTTTAAGACTCGAAGTCGGGAACTAAGGTGCCGTCGAAGTACGGAGACCAGTTCTGGATGTTCGACATTCTCAGAGCGGGGCATGCCGCCCACACCAGTCGAGCTTAGCAAGGGTATGAGATAGTGGTCCGCAGGCCGAGATAGGCTCCTCGCAGGCCAGCAGTATTCCCCTTGAAGGCCACCACAGGCCCGTTTGCAGTTCAGTGGGGTTCTCCTTGCTGTTCAGAAGGGGCTTTTTACAGCAGTGTACTATTGAAAGTACAGAAGGGCTTTTGTTACAAGCCAGCCAGAGCCATTCTTGGGAACCAACAAGGGGCCCGTTGGTCATGGCAACGAAGACCGATTATTGCGCCGCTCCTGAAAGCACGACCGCGCTCAGCCCAGGTCCTGTGGTTGGACAATAAAGCGGATGCTATTGGTGTTGACAGCGTATACATATAATCAGAAAGCGTAATGAACGGTCAGGCGAGGGGCAGACAGGAGTGCGGGAAAAACTGAGTCATTTGTTGGCGGATTTAGCAGGGAATGGTTTGGTAAAGGGACCTTAAATGTCGTGTACGTATGATCGAATGGTTGGATTTAAGGCAAACAGCGTTATGTATGTTATTTATTTTGATGTGTGTGGATGTGTATGTTATAATTCGGGGAGACAGGGGGACTTTATACACCCGTGGGGCAAACCATGTATGAACTATCAGGGGAGAAAGAGCATCGGTGGAGTGTCCCGTATCCATTTTCTAGAACTCACTGGGCCACTCGAATAATGATGTATCATTTGTTAGCTTTGAGAGGATGTAGAGCAAAAATGTGACGTATGGGAGGCTCAGGGAAAGAAATTGGATTGCTATGTCGGGAACATCACACCTTCTAGGGGTACTCAGCGTAAAAACCAACGTCTAATATGCACAAATTCTTTAAATATATGTCCTAGGAGAGGCCAACCTGCAACCAACGCGCATGTATCAGTTCTTAGTTAACGGTGGGACGTGTAAAGAAGGGCTCTCCCAAGGGTTGTGGAGACTGAAGCAGGCTCAAATAGAATCGAAAAGTATCATTGCAGAATGTTGGCACACACACACACACACACACACACACACACACACCACACACACACCACACACACACACACACACACACACACACACACACACACACACACACCACACGCACGCACGCACGCACGCACGCACGCACGCACGCACGCACGCACGCACGCACGCACGCACGCACGCACGCACGCACGCACGCACGCACGCACGCACGCACGCACGCACGCTGCGCGCGCGCGCGCACGCACGCACACGCAACGCACGCACGCACGCACGCACACACACACACACACACACACACACACACACACACCACACACACACACACACACACACACACACCACACACACACACACACACCCGCGCACTGCACGCACGCACGCACGCACGCCACGCACGCACGCACGCACGCACGCACGCACGCACGCACACACACACACACACACACACACACACACACACACACACACACCACACACACACACACACACACACACCCGCGCACGCACGCACGCACGCACGCACGCACGCACGCACGCACGCACACACACACACACACACACATACATACACACACACACACAACACAACACCAACACACACACACACACACACACACACACACACACACACACACACACACACACACACACACACACACACACACACACACACACACACCAGGACAGCAGCCTGAAGGGCTCGCCACAAAAACGTGGGTCCCTGTCGCACCGGTCTTTGCTGGTGTCATGTCGCTTTTTGCCGGTGTCATGGTGTTTAGCGTGGGCAAAATCGTTAATGCCAAGGAGTGGAGGCCACTTCCCTGTTTACTTCGATTCTGTTCATGGATAATGGGAGTAGCTCCCTCATGTTTTCGTAATTGGATGCACGGCTGGTCATGCAGGGGTCATAGCTAGCGTACTATGCGATATGCTGGCTGCTTAAGTTGAAGTGGCGTCTTATTTACTGGACTCGTTAAATATTGTGTACGATGTGTGCACGATGATGTAGATGGGCATGATACTCAGTGTCT